AATTATATAATTATTTAAATAAAAATCATAATTTTTACTTTTTTAATACCAATTAATATAACAAAATATAATAATTACATTCTTAATTAATACATTAAAAAACAACCACTACAAGAAAAATGGTTTTTAGTGATAAAAATTTGTAATGAATTTTTAAATCATCACTATAATTTATCACAATTGTGACAGATCTAAAAAAACTAGTTACAGATGCATACATATTTAATGATGAAGAAAAAAATTCATCATAAAAAATATATTTTATCACCGAAAAATGTTCATAGAGATAAAATAAGCTTTTGTTGATAAAAATCGTCACTATAATGTATTACAATTATGACAGAATTCTAATATTAGTCACATATACCTTATACGTTCAATGATGATCAAATAATTCATCACTAAAAATTATCAATTTTCTCTAATCAATGCATCCCACATCGATAAAAAACACATAAAAGAATAAGGTTTTGCACTATAAATATATCTCACATCGATGAAAAATATTTAAGAAAATAAATTTTTGCACTATAAAACATGTGAAACTCAATAAAACTTGATATTAGTTTGGGCTTGATTAATTTTAATCAGGTTTGATTAATTTTAATTAAAATTGATTAGTATTGAAATAATAATATTTTTTATTAAACTTTTTTGATAAATTTATATATTATTTTTTTGTGATAAAATTTTTGTTACAATATTTGTATTATAATTATATAAATATCTCTTTTTATTTAATATTAATTTTAATAATTAATGACTAAATTTTTTATCACAATTAATACATTTGTGATGAAAATTATTATAACAAAAAATATTTTTTTGTGACAAATAAAATTATTATAAATAACTTGTTAACAATGTCAGTTTTTTCTATCATTATAAGATTATTTTTTATGATAAGTGCCTAATTTAGTCACTAAATATGAATTTTCTTGCAGTGAACTATACAATTCCTCTCCTTCTTAACTCTCAATCTCGTGAAAAACTCAACTGCTTAACATTTTGGTCTGCCGAAAGCTCCTATATATTGAAACCCAACATCTCTCCTTTTCCCCACAATACAAACATTACCCTGATTCAGCTATTATATT